TAGTTAGGTGTCTCCGTTTTTTTAATACTTGTCCTTTTTCTCTCTCAGTTTATTAGAGAATTCTTTATTCTCTTATTCAAAACCATGCTAGTTTTGTTTCAGGTGTTTTATTTTTCTTTCTTAGTAGTATTGTGTTAGACTGTGCTTTAATAATCTCATTTTTCAGAATTTCCAAGGATCTTGAGCTGCTTCCCCTTTAGAATTTCATCCATGGAATCCTTCCTAAGACTCTAGTTTGATTTTGTTCTACTGCTTGAGTTTCCATTATGTTGACTTCCAATATAACATGGTCTCTCACTCCCCAAGTTCCCCCACTTCAACCCCTTCTATCATTTCATCTCTGTTAGTGATAATTATGTCCAATATAGCTGACCTTCTAGTTCCCTCCTCTACCTTTTGGGAGACAAAGTTCTCTGCTAGGTTCATCAGGAACCTGTTTGATCTCCCACTAGGTGCAGAGTTTGTCTCCCAATTGATATCAGGGTAGTTAAAGTTCTCGATTACTCCTGTGTGTGGCATGCTCCCTGCACACCCCAACTAACTGATTAGCAAACAGAGCATCTATTTCCTACACTTGGTTGGGTAGTGCGTAATATATGACTATGGCAATGTCATTCTTTTTCCTTTTCTATTAACCCAAATGCGTTCCGAGTCTCACTATAAACTCTTGGTGCCTGCCTGGAGCCTGCAGTTTTCTTGACAAGAATTCAGAAGCGCCAGCTCCCTAGGACTGAGGAAGAATGACTGGTCCAAAGTAGCACAGCTGGTTTTTTTTCCTTAGAATCATTGAATCATAAGGCTAAAAGGGACCTTTAAGGTTTCCTAAGTCCATCTCCCTGCCCAAGGCAGGATTCCTTATACTATACCAGACAAATGGTGGCCCAATCTTTTCTTGAAAATCTCCAGCAATGATTTGCCAACTTATGTAGTATGTGAGATTGCAGTATTTATAGTACTTCTACAGTGCTAGAACTCACAGTCTCCTAGTTTCTTGCCCGATGCCTTTGCCTACAGGTAGCCTTCACAGAACCACAATTGAGACCTGGGACTCCGTTGCTAAACAGCCGGATTATTAAGTGATTGCAACTTGCGATTTTATTCCCAGCATCTCTATTGACTCTGCTTATCAATGGGAAGTTGGCTGTGGCAATCACATGACCACAGGACCCAGCGATGGCCCCTAGTTATAAAATTCCTGATCTTGGTCGTGTGTATGCAGGGGCACTAAAATTGTTATGAGTAGGAGGCTTGTCATACTTTTTCAGCACTGTGATAACTTTGAATTGTCACCAAACAGGATAGTTATTAAGTGAGGACTACCTGTACAAAAAGTTGGGTCTTATGTTTACCATAATTGTATATAAATTCACACTATGAGGGCATTTCTTAAAATGGACAGAACACCTCAGGGCAAGTATTACAATTACATTAGACTGCCAATTTAAGAGCATAAAGCAAGCAACCTGCCCACCAGGTTCCTTATCCCATTAACTCAGTTGTTTTAAAAATGGTGCCCACTGAAACAAGATACAGAAAAACAGATAAAGTATGTATTTATTTATACTTCTTTTCAATCTGGTAGCCTTCTGAGCTACTACCTTCCCATCAAAATAGTTTGGCGGAACAATTTGATTTTTCTTTTCCTAACTCCTGCTGTAACAAATCTGACTCCATTTTATTCCATGCTCACGGACTAACATATAATTTCTTTCTACCATTTTTTTTTGCATTGTAAAGTGCCAACATTCCATTAGTGAGACAAAGCTCAGTTCCAGAGACTTAAGGTATATTCTGTACTAGATTATCCTTACTCATTTTTCAACTAATTGCTCTTTATATGGCAATGATTTCCACAACCCTGGTCACTGAATCACTGTTGATCTAGCTTTGTGCTAAATTGCTGCTGTTTTCTGTTCATTCTTGGGAAATCAGCAAACACTATTTAGCTGAAAGATGGACGCATCCACGTACTTCCAAAAATTGGAAACTCTTTGCCAGTAATTTGCCAAAGGTATCTGTCCATGATCAGGTAGATGATGTAAAAAGAGAAAACACAATGGCTCGTCCTCCTAATGATTGATCATCAAGGAAAAATCCACTCGAAGCACACAATATTTGAGAGGATCTGATTCAGCCATGCCACGGACGACAGCTAGGCATAATGGAACTCATGGTTTGAACAACCCAAGCGGCTACTATACACTTGGACTTCACCAAATGGAAACATTGAAACCAAATTGACTACATATTATTCCCAAAGAAGCGGAAGAGTTCCATCCTTGCCATGAAAATGTTTCCTGGAGCAGATTGTGGATCAGATCATCAACTGCTAGCTGTCAAGGTAAAGTTCCAATGGGTCAGTTGTCAAACAGCCATCCATGATTCAGAAATTTGACGTCGAGAAGATTCTCCAGGCATATGCAGTTGAAGTTAAGGATAGATTTCAACTCTGGCTGAAGTAGCCCAAGAACCTATTGAGCAAAAGCCATTGAGGACAGGGAAGAAAGGCGAAGACTCAACAGAAGGTTCCAGAGAGGCAAGAAAAGGCAAAGCAAAGTCCTGGCTGAGCAACGTAAGAAACTGGAGGAAGCAGCCAGGAGAGTCATACAGGAGACTTGCGTCGCTTGATAAGGAGAAGGCCAGAAGGAAAGGCAGACTGTGGTCAGAGGACATGATGGGCAGGAACTGCATGACCAACAAGCCATCAGAGAATCTCAGACCAAAGTTATTTGTATTTGTATTTGGTTTATTTGTATGCCGCCCTTCTCCAGGAGGGACTCAGGGCGGCGAACAACTCAAAGGGGAAAGGGAACATAAAGAACAGTACACATAATTAAACAACACGAAAAACAAACAACCAAACACGTC